AATATATATAAGAAATTTTCTCTTTGTTTTCCAGTGGTTTCAGTTTTAGAATTTATGATTTATAATATAGTGGATACAATGTAACTTTTCCTTCTTAGAGAAAATATCTTTATTTTCTAGATAAACTAGATATTTTCTAGATACTAGAAAGTTGTATTTAAGGTGCCAAACAATAAAAGTGTTTTGTCCAATGGAGATGTTTCCATCTACTACTGATGAAAGAAGCAATATAAATGTCTTCATAACATGGCATAATTTTCCTGTCTTGGAGTTTCAAAAATGTTTTTGGTCCCTAAATATGGGTAGTTTTGGTGTAACTATGGTATAATTCTCATCTTTCTTAACCCAAAAACAATCATCAGTAAAGCTACTGAAGGAATTAGTTACTGTAGCATAAAAATTTGTGTAAGAAAGTCTGTTGGGCCTATTGTGAGATCCTTGTCTTGAATATTCTTACATATATTTGTGTGATAGTATTGTACATTAATTTATAGAGCTTTTTAAAATTTCAACAGCATAAACACTAACATATTATTTGGAGGCGAACCACAGTAGGTGAAGGGAATAGTTGTAACAGTGGTAATGTCTAATCAGTAGGTGGAAGTGGGACAGCAACTTCAAATTTTATATTTTTTTCTGTTATTGTTTGGGGAGTAAGGAATCTATGCAATCTGCTTTGCTTAGAATTCACTAAAATGGGTCAGTGCTTGAGCTAGCAGTTGCTCTGAAATTACAATGACTGCCTGTAATTAAGAACTAATTTGTAGTCATAAAAAAGCCAGATAAGGGGCTAGCCACTTCATGGAAGATGAATATAATCAGGATAACTGGCACAGCTGGTGGCTGTAGTCTGTCTTCAGTGAGCGCACACAACTGCCGTAATTCCTATGGGAWGTTATGTATCTGCCTCAAAAGGTGAATACTTAAGAAAATTTCCATCAGATCAACGATTTGAAGTTGTATGGCTTGTTACAATGATGGGACTTGGGTGTGGGGAACGCAGTGCAGCCATTTATYACTTGCACATTATTAGTATGCTGATGAAGTTCGTGTAAATGAATCAGGTAGATGTGTTTTGGTTGGGAAGTTGAGTTTTTTTTGGAGGAAAACATCAGTGCTGAATGTGCTGGTGCATAAATGTAAGCAGGAGCTGACTTCAGCTCAAGCCGTTCTTCTGTTGTATTTAAATTTGTGGACTGCATTTCCTTGATAGCACAGACAGACCTAGCAGGAATACTCTGTAACCTTTTCATCTGTGATCTTCCACTAACTTCTGTATGAAAACAGTCAGCTCTGGTTTTACTGCAAAAAATGTATCTATAAAACCCTGTTAAATGTTTCCCTCATGCAAAACAGCAATTATGACCCCTTTGACTTAGCACTTATTCTACAGAAATAAGCAATTGCCATTTGGCTCTATTCATTTTGTACTTTGTTTCACACTTTCTTAAGATGTATCAGCAGACTTTTAATTATCCTGCAAATGATTCTATTAAGCATTCTCCTTGCATATTAAATGCAGAAGACATTGTTTTGAGCTTCCTTTGCCTCCTGTGAATAGAATGTGGGCAGACATAGAAAAATCAAATTATTTTACTAAATGAAAACAACCTGAGCAGAAGAAATCATTTTGAATAATGACAGCTTGGGTGAGAGTGTCACCATTTTCTATCAGTTTGCTCTGCATCACATAGGAGCTCACTTGATGGAATGTGTTTTTTTTTTTTTTTTTTTTTTTWAAAAAAAAAGTCTAGTAAAAATAAGCTGTGACAGTCTCTAAGTAAATGTAATAAATCAGGAGGATTTTCAAAGGGAATAAAAAGTGTCATTTATGATGGTTACAGCTTATACGCCCACTGTGATGCCTGTACTGGTACAGTTTATACTCTCCCATGGTAGATAAAAATTATTATTTGATCTGTCAAAATGGAGTGACAAAATTTTTGTGGGTAGACAGCTTACTTAAGAACAGTAAAGTTCTATTGTGTGTTTGCTATCCTAACTCTGAGTACTGTAGAAAACAAGAAATGAGGAAAAGCAATTATTGCTCAGAAAGTTCATATAAAATTGGGTAAAAAGGTTAATAACAAAAATCATAATGTTTTAACTGTAGGAATCTGGAGGAATAGCAAACATAAATTTTCATCAAAAAAGTTATTATTGCAGTAGCCCCTGAGACCTAAATTCTAGCAATTTTCTTGTAGTATAATGAATTTGTTAATTCTCAGAGAAATTTTTGCTCCACAGGAAGCAGAGAGGGATTAATCTCTTGGATCCAGATGTTCATAGCTAGATTAAATCCAAGACCTGACTGTGAGCTCATAGCCTGGGTGAGACTGCTGCTTAGAGTTGCCGAATGCCTGTGTTTGACCTGGCCGTTCTGGGCTGGAGAATATTTATACAAGCTCAAGCACTGAATTCCAGGCAGGTCTCTTTCRTTGCAAATGCAATGGGACACTCAAAGGCAGAAAACTGTCTCCTCTGAAGCATGGAGTGAACTGGTTCCTACAGCATGTGCATATACTGCGCTGGTGGGAGGTGGATTTTGGGACACGAAGGAGATGCATCTTTGACATATATTAGCTAAATCGCCCTTTGTGTCTTTTTTAGTGATGAGTGCGAGTGTAAAATGGGCTTCACACTATTTCTTTGAAAGCTGGAGCTTGCTTTTCTTCTAAGTGTATTTAGAATGGTAGTATATCAGTCTTACAAACCACTGACACGAACACAAGTTCTGTTTCCCTACTTTTTGAACATCTGGCTAAGGAGCAATCACGTGATCTATAATTACTCACCCAGGTAAAAGCATTTGATACCAAAAGGCCTTTAAAACCAATTAGAAGTTCCTGTGGCTAGATTTAGTCAACAAGATATCAGCAATAAATRTGACAGTGGGACTATCTTGCTTTTGGGCTGGGTTGTGGAAGAGCGTATTGAATTTTCTATGACTTGCAGCCTTGGAATTTGGGTTAGAAGTCCTTCTATCTCCTTGAACTCACCACAAGCTCCAGCTGAAACCTGAATGAAGGCCATAGTCTTCTGCAGCCTCTTGGCTCCATTGCACGTTTCCAAAACTATGTTGTGGACTGTGTATTTAGCATGTGCACTGCCGTGCTAAATATGGACCTGGCACTCTGTGCTGTTAGGGAGAGCATTTAGAGCATGAATGCACTTGACTATTTTCTGAGGAAATAATCTCAGTTTAAATGGAAGGAAGATGCCAACAGGAGGAATAAGTCCTTCAGACTTACAAATTCCCTTACTTCAGGCTACAAATTCCCACTTACCAGTCCCACTTGTTCCCAGTAGCCAGCTTAAAAAATAAGTTTCTTCTCTGGAAGAAGCATCGTTCTTCAATTTCTTGTAATGACTGATTTATACTGACCAGATGTATTGCTTGCTAAAAAACTCCTGTCATTCTCCTTCCTATCCACTTTTTGTTATGGGTATTTATTACTAGTCCCTATTTACACAACTCTGAAAAGGGCTCTGAAAAGTCAAGGAAGATAAAGTAACCCCAATTGTGAAGCAATTCCCTTCTTTTCAGGGGAAAATAAAGCTGTATAGTCAGTATCTGAATCTCCTAAAATGTGATGTTGCTCTGGGGCACAGAGAGACAAACTGTTTTTTATGGACTTCAGCTTGATTCTTTCACTGCATAGCTGTAAGAATATTTGTTGCAGTACTTATTGCAARTATACTTAAATTGGACTTTTTTTCCATGAAAATATGGGCATTCTAGGAAAAAGAAAATGTTCCTTTACACCAGCAGAGAACTCAGAACAGCCTAGTTTAACTAGGCGAACAGCAAAATTCATGACAAAAGTAAGCAGAGGACATCAAACACCACAGATTTTTTTTTTCTTCCAACAGCGGAGTCTTCTAAATATAGATTATAGTAATTTACTTTCAAACAACTCATTTTCAGCATCTGACATGTTCATTAACCCCAGGTAGAAAAATTATTGTGGTGCATTAATTTTTCACCAATGAAGACATTAGTCATATTTGCAAGTATCATTAGTGTCTGCCACCGAGGTGGAAAAGTCTCACTGTCTCTCTCCAAATGGAGGAGGCATCAGAATGTTAACTAGGGTCTGCMGAGTTCTCCGGGTTATCAACCCTCGCACACTTCTATGCGCTGAATTTTAATTAGACTTTTCCAAAAGTACATCATTAAAGGACATGTTTTATAAGGGAGTAGAACAGACGTGTAATCCTTTAGTAAAATAAGGTAAAATGTACAAGGGTTTAATATGAGTGTTCTGATGGTTCTTCTGACAATGTGAAGGGGACAAGTTCACACATTAAACAGCACGTGTGCTCAGCAATTATAAAAGGCAAATGGGATGAGAGATGTTGTAGTCTACTGAGAGTGGGGAGAGAAGGGGATTTTAAAGGGTGCTGATGGCTGCAAGCATTTAACTGGAGGTCAGTCAGAAATTTGGGTGTTTCTCTTCCCATTTTGTTGGGAAATACCTTGAATCATTTATTACGAATGGGCTCCTATATTTCTTAGATGCTCTTCTTCACGATGCCTCTGTTGGCACCTCTATTGGGTGCTAATGATGCTTTTTTTTTTTTATCCAGTCTTTATTCACAATGGTTTTGCTTAACTTTTCTTCACAAGACAAAACTTATTTAAAAAAGAAAGGAAGAAAAAAAAGAAAAAACATCCATCTTAAAGCTTCCATTAAAGGTGTGATGGAAGAAAGATGCAGTAGCAGTAGTGATGATTGTATGTTGCTCTAGTTATGCTTTTTTCATATTAAAAATACTTGTGTGATTTCTTGTAGTATAAAAACCATATACCTGCACAACAGCTAATCTTTCAYGATTTCAGGAGATAGCTTGTTTTAGTGATAAATCAGACAATTTTAATCAAGAAGCAAGGCTTATGGATTTTAGCTTTGAAAATGCGTGCAAAACTGATTCATTTACTCCCTGTTTTTGTTTTCCTCCCTTTTTATCTGCTGTGTCCAATTTCTGCCCCAATAAAGGAGGGTGAGGTGGCTGCGTGCAGAACTACACAGAGGATGGGCACCAGGCTCAGCAGCTGGGATCAACGTGGTGTTCAACGTAGGAACCGTGCCCATGTCATAATTATATGATGGACATATTTAAAAAGCAAATTATCCAATGTTGCATKTGCAATCTCAGTGACACAATTTGGCTGCTAAGTCTGTATATGAAGCTYGTTGAATAACCATTTTTCAAAACATGTTTTCCTATGAAAATAAGTTTTTAGGGAGTAGAAAGCTAGCTGAATACTTAACCATCATATTTAGTTAAATATAATGCTCTTGTTGTGACTTTTACATCACACAAAAGCTATGTATTACATTTTTTTTGTCTTTGAACTCAGCCATAGAAAGTTATTCTCCTCTCTAGATAGTTGTATTATTTAAGCACTTTTTGTTTTGATGGAAATTACTTTTGTAGGAAGAAATTTACCGCTTTGACTGTGATCAGGGCCACAGCTCAGTCTGTAACATTCACTGCTGACATGCCTATTTCCTACCTGTCAGAATGAAATACTAATGGTAGGTCCTATCAATTCTGACATTGCTTTCTTATTTTTTATAACCAAGGTCACTTTGCTTCAAGTTTACATTTGCCATGCAAATAGAAATAAAACTATAAAAAGGATTATTATTTTTTTCAGCAAATTTGTGCTGAACGTGTCTTTTTTCTTCACTTCAAGGATTAAATGTTTGAAAAAGTTAAGGTGATGGATAAGACATTTTCTGGTTGGATAACAAGGAAAAAAGTTATTTTTCGTCTTTATTGCTTAGCATGCATGTAAAATCAGACTGGCTAATCATCTGATTCTTTYCTCAGTGTCTATCTTATTGCATGCATGTTTAAATGAAAGGTGTTTAAGGACTATTTTCTAGTCCTTACAAAATACCTGTTCATGAGGAGTCTGAAGGAAACTTAGGAAAGGAAGTGATTTTTTTTTTTAGAGTAAAAGACACTGCATTTTTTCTTGAACGTACCAAGCTTGTGTTTCAGTTCCCAAGACTTATTTTGCTTTGAATCTTTGTTCTTTAATCATAATTTTTGTTAGAGTGTTGAACTTTCATGTCTGCTTTTACATGCTCTGAGGTGTGAAGTGTTGTTTATGCTTCTGAAGAATAGTGAGGCAGCATTAAGGGAAGCCCATGGCTTTATTTAATCCACATGCTCTGGTGCCGTGTTGGGAATCCAGCCAGCATGGCACAACAGTGGGAAAAATCCCAATTTAAGATTGGTAGCTGGTGCTGCACCTCATGTTTGAACAACCCTTGTGCAAGGATCCCTGGCTCAGGAAGGTGGAGGTGTCACTGAAGTCTTGTAACAGGGAATAGCAAAAAAGACTTCTAGGAAAGACTGATAGACCCCATGGTGTTTTCTGTATTATTTCTTTAGGTAATAGCATTTTTTTCTGTTCTTTGTATTTCTATTTAATTCTGTGTCCAGTTAAAACAGCAAATAAGTATATAAAGATAAAACCAAAGTAAGCTTCCTGATAAGCATCTGTCCTTGTTATGGAGCCAGAAGTGTATTGATCAGTTTTGTTTTCCTCTATGATGGCTTTATATCTAGGTATTACAGAYCCATAACCTTAAGATGCCATCTCTCCTGAAGGAAAGGAGCGTCCTTTCTATTGGAGCTCCTATCCAAAAAGGAGAAAGGAGTGTTAGTCAAAGGCAGGAGCCTTGCAGAGTGAGGAAATCCATGGAAAGGATTATTTTCCRTTTTGTCATCAAGGAAAAGGTCTCCCATCTCAAGCAGGAAGCCAAAAGCCTCTATTGCAATGTGTGTAGCCAGCATTGGATCATTTTCCCTTTCAGATGGAAAGGAATAGACTTTTCTTTTTCATCTAATCCGTCAATCTAACCTATGCATTTCTGATGCACATGTTTGCCAGGGGTCTGAGCACCGTGTTGCTCTGATTTATAGGAAGTTGTAGCTAATGTATGGCCTTGATGTTCCTCCTCTTCTATATTTTAGCTGTCAGTAGCTTTCTTTTGACTGTTATTCGTTAAGTCTGTTACTACTGGGCTCTAATTATAGCACAAATTATTTTTAAGGAAATGATGAAATACAAGCTCAGAAGGGGCTTTGGAAGCGCACAAATGAGAATCAGAGATGTGATGAGCACACATCAATAGGCAACTGAAGCTTTTCACTTACTGTTGTTCAAATAATAATTAGAATGTTTAGATGTTAAGTATAGATCTGAGAGAAAATGAAATGGAAAAGTTTTTTTAAATAAATAAAAGTTAATAAAGATCTTTACTTGAATGGGTTCATGCAGAGTGCTAAGTTATGAATGTTTTATCTTTGTTTTTGAACAGAAAATTGTTCTTTACTAGGAAGCATTATGTGCTTTTTATAGTAAATGAAATTGCCAAATTAGAATATATAGGAGGTGAATTGTTAAAAGACCATCAGGACAGCTGTATATTTAAAGGCAGAAAGGAAATGTTATGATAGGAACAATCTACATCTTTATTTCAGTCTGGTTTTGGCCGTAGATTGCTGTCAGATCAAACTTCGAGAAATAAACAGCTTAAAAGAAAGGAAGCTTAATAATAAAAATAGAGCAGAGCATAGTGATAATGAAACGGTAAATGCAAAGGTAAGGAAACATTACCTGGAAACGTCTTGCCCGCGTACCATGATGCACATCATTCACGTGCTGTGAAATCACTGTCATGGSCTCCTGTTTCAAGATCAAGTGGGTAGCAGCTTGATTGACCATTAACTTAATCCAAAGTTAAATGTGCTTACAAAAATTCCAACTTGGCGAAGATAAAAATAATTAATTCTCTTGCCATTTCTGCACAAGCGTTGGTAAGCAGCGTACGTGTCACTGCTGCRCTGATCGTAAGACCAATGATTTACTCTAAATCCCCGTCTTATGAAGCACTTAGTTTTTATAACTGAAGCCTTGCTCCCTCTTGACTACTGACTCTCTGTGAGGCTAATTCTGCAGTAAATATTTCTTCCTTTATCAGTGTAAATGTTTCTGATTTCTTATGCATCTCGCCCCTCTTCTGCCGTTCCTTGTGGTCTTCTCTGCAGAGCCCTTCTGTCTGGATAACTGTGTGCATCAGATGGCCAAGAGCTGGCTGCTGGTTTGCATGCTACAGGCATCAGGCCTTCACTGAGAGGGCAAAGGACGGGACGACCTGAGATATGTCTTTCATCTTTATTTTATCTCTGCAAAATGCAGGTGGGCGTGCAAATCTGAGCTCTTTGCCAAAGCCATCTGCTCAAAAAATATTATACAAACAGATGAGGAAGATTTAAACTAATTACAACTTTTGTGTGTTTATGAAAGTTATTCTTTGCTACCATATATCTGGGTTTCCCCTAGCTGTGTTGTCTTTTGAGGCACAAAATGTTTTCTAGACGTGATCTGAAGTCTTTGGCTTTTTCCAGTGCTTGGGGATGTCCCAATCACTTAAATGTCCTCACTGCACCAAGAGACTGCACCATTTTTGTCCAGAAGAACATAGATATCTTGCCTTGAGTTTACTCAAGTAAACTTAAGTTTACTTGAGTTTAACTTAAACTCAAGTTAACTTAACTCGAGTTAACTTAAACTCAAGTTAACTTAAGTTAACTTAAAATTGAGTTTACTTAAGATGCTGGCTGCCAGGGAATAGTTTTGATTCACACTGATGTAGGGTTTTATCTTTGTGTTTTGCTTAAGCACACACAAAACTGATTTTGTCTGGGTCTGAGAAGTGCTTTGCTCCACATGGGTGAAGAATTTGGCTTCAGTATTGGCCTCAGGAGTTCCCAAGACATGAAAGCAGAACAGTCCTTCTGAACTTCCAGATTCTTTGGCCTCAGCCACAGCTGCTTGGGAGCTTTAAAGATTGCAAATGGGTATGTGTGGGGGAAACTCTTTGCATTGTATATTTTAAGAGCATAGTTTCAGCTTCTGTTTTTTTTTTCCTGAGCTCCTGACAAACTCTTTACAGTTTCCTTGTGTGCAACTGGTAGCTGTGAAAATTTTTAGCCTTCTATTGTTTTAGAGATATCAGTTCAAGTAAAACTGTTCCCTGTGCTTGAATAAAAGGTGACCTATTTGCTAACTGTATGTATGCAGAGCATTTGATCACACTTTTAACCTTTTCTAATTGCATTAGTTTACTGTTCTACCACTATGAAACAGCATCCAGAAAGCTTTTGTTTTCTGAAATGTTTTAGAATGGTTGAACTGTCTATTTTGATTACTTAGATGAAGGATGTTAGTCCTTACTCTCATAGTAACAAAACTGCAGATTGATGCTAACAACTTAGTTTAGTCAAGGATGTGAGAATATTTGTTTAGAATTTGTGAGGTTAACTCCAAAAAAACACCACATTCAACTAATTGTGGGAAGCTTTTTAGCACTGTAATAATAAATAATTAAGAATTTTACAATTGGCTTGATAAATAACAATTAAACTTCCACATATGGCTTACTTTACAAYGTTACCCCATCATGCATAGCAAACAGGTTTGCTAACACATGCTAGGAATAATACTACTATAAGTTTAATGAATTTGGTGGTTTCTCTGTGGCACGAATCACACAAAACTTATGTTATGTAATACAGTACTGGCTCCTGTATTGCCTTTAAATAGGCAATAAAAGAAAGACATTTCTTTTGCAAAGCAAAATTGCTTTGAGGTTTGTGGGAAGAGTGTAGAGTTGGCGAGCTCTTTTTTCATATGGTTTACTAGGCACTTTTCTCTTTTAGCAAGATGGGCTCTGCTAACAGCCATGTGCCATCCTTACCTTTGGCAGGGCTGTGCAAGCCAAAAGTTACCTARGGTAAATATTCCAAGGGTCTGTGTGGCACTTGTGGCACAGTTTTCCTGACTGTTTTTGGAGCTCCAAGCTAGTGCAGCACAATGGTGCTATTTGTACAACAGACAGGACTGCTGCTATTCAAATATTAATATATAAGTAGTAAAGCCGATGGGGTAGATGGTTTCTCCTTGCAAAGGTGCAGTCCCAATGGCCCAGTTTTGCTCATGTGGTGGTGAGTGGAGAAGGAGCAGAAGTGCCACTCATTGGAGTTATGCTGGGCAAGTGCCAACTTTGCTTTGTGTTTCATGTGAGTTTGTATGCAAGGCAGCCAACCTAAGGACTCTGAAATCAAGGACTTATTATGTGTTTCATCTAGTTTTCCTTTTAATTGTAACTAAATTCAGAAGTTTTTGTAGAAATTCGCACYGACTAATATGTGATATGAACTTTAATACCTTTGAGAAGGCTTTTGATGGATGTTTCCTCAAAAAGCTGCTGATTATCACTAAGAAACACACTTTTTAATGTAATGCCAGTGTTTTCTTTCCTCTCCTGTTCTTTTGGAAGAATGCTAATCTATTTTGAAAAGGGAAACTTGTCATGAAGGGAGAGTTTTCAACCCAAACTGTCTATACTGTTTCATGTGCAAACTTCAGCTTTAC